ATTATTTTGATGCATTTGTTGCTCCGCAGGGCTCTCTCTACTTGTTTTCCTGGCCAATTGGGTTGGATATTGCTTCCCTGTCCTGTCTGCAGTTCTCTTCAAACTATGTTAGCTAGAAAGAGCACTTGAGTTTCAGCATTTGGAAACTGTAAGGTAGAAACAGTTCAGTTTCTGTTGCTGGATCAGTGCAGTATTTAAAAGCTGTTGCCTATATTCCTGGCTGATCCAGGTGGATTTTAGAAACTGATGTATGTGGACATTAAGAAGTTATGTTAGTGTGACTTGAAGTTTGGTATTGCTAAGGCTATTAAATTGTTCCTTCCACAGATGGGAATTCATTATCACAATTGATGGGGAAAGATGCATATACACCCTTAAAATGCCAGTCATAATGTGGGAGGGCACTCTAGTTAAGCATAGAATCTTTCAGTTTAAACAGCAAAGAGAGCTCAGTTTGTTGTTTTTTTTTTTTTTTTTAAGCTCCTTAATAAGCAAATGCTTCGAGTTTCTCAAAAAAAAAAAAAAAAAAAAAAAAAGCAAAAAACAGAACACACCACTTTGGTTTCTTTTTATTACTTTGTTGGATTAATACGATTCTCCGTAAGTGCTACGTGTGTGTATTCCAGTCTGTCATATAAATGGATACTGTGTATGTCCCTAATGCTGTAAGTAATCTCTCATAGTCTAGTAGTGTTTTTAAGCCTTGGGACAGACTGAATGAGAAAAGAAGCAGTAGATGTCATTCTTCTGTCAACAAGGCCTCTCTTCTTCATATAGATCTGGGTCAATGAGGCTACGAAGCTGGTGTATTTCCAAGGCACGAAGGACACCCCATTGGAGCACCATCTCTATGTAGTTAGCTATGAGTCTCCTGGAGAAATTGTGCGACTTACCATACCAGGCTTCTCCCACAGCTGTTCTATGAGCCAGGTTTGTTGTTCTTGTATGTTGTTTACAAGAAGTTATTTACAGAAGATACAAAGAAGTTTTTTACAGAGAGAGTGGTGAGGTGCTGGAACAGGTGCTGCCTAGGCAGGTTGTGGATGTCTCGTCCCTAGAGGTGTTCAAGGCCATATTGGATGGGGCCATGGGCAGCCTGGTCTAGTATTAAATGGGGAGGTTGGTAGCCTTGTATTTGGCAGGGGTGGTTGGAGTTTCATGATCCTTGAGGTCCCTTCTAACCCTGGCCATTCTGTGATTCTGTTTAGACACAAGATGCACTTGTCTCCTGTCTAACAGGGAATGGTAGTGAGTCATGCAGTGATTACCGGGGACTTTTGTATTGGTTGCTTGAGATGTGGGAGCTCTAATCTAAGAACAGTGTGGAGGAGGCTGGTTGTGGGAAATGAGACCTCAATTCCCCTAACTCTTCCTCTTCCACCTGTAGAATTTTGACATGTTCATCAGCCACTACAGCAGTGTGAGCACTCCACCTTGCGTGCATGTCTACAAGCTCAGTGGCTCCGATGATGATCCGCTACATAAGCAACCCAAGTTTTGGGCTAGCATGATGGAGGCAGCCAGTAAGTCCTGCACAATGTGTAACTGCTAGGTTATTTGACCCATGTCTGTTCTCAACCTGTCAAGTCTTACACTTACAGCACAGCATGCCTTATTTGAAGATTTTTAGCTGAATATGTGTTCATGGGTGATCCATTCTCTGCATATATGGCCTACTGATCTATGTAGGCCGGTATCTGAGTGGGAGGTTTCTCTGAAAGGCAGTGATAAATCTTGTTATGCTTTGGGTATTTAAAGAGCCCTGGCTAAGAGGACGAGGTTTTTCAGACTGGGTAGAAGACAGAGTCTGCTTTTGTTATTGCATTGCTATTGTGTGAACTTGCTTCTGCAGGTTGTCCCCCAGATTACATCCCACCTGAGATCTTTCACTTCCGTACTCAATCAGATGTTGAGCTCTATGGAATGGTCTACAAACCTCATGATGTCCAGCCTGGGAAGAAGCATCCCACAGTGCTCTTTGTGTATGGAGGCCCTCAGGTAATAGTCCAGATAGTTGATTGCTGTGCAGTGCAGAGTTCTGTGTAGCTCAGTCATGTGTCAGGACTTAAACTGAACCTCTGTTCTGACCTCTGCCTCAAACCTGAGATGATGTTTTAAGCATTTAGACTGATACATCTGTCTCTGGTAGCTCATCTAGTGGCTGCTGTCCTGTTCACCATCCTGTGTGGTGAAACAGACGGAGCAGGATAGTGGAAGGCAGCTGCTTGGTTCTGAAACTTCTTTATCTTCTGCAGGTGCAGCTGGTGAATAATTCCTTTAAAGGAATCAAATACTTACGGCTAAACACGCTAGCATCCCTAGGTTATGCTGTGGTAGTGATTGATGGAAGGGGTTCATGCCAACGAGGACTCAGATTTGAAGGAGCCCTGAAAAACCAAATGGTAATGTACTTTTTTGATTAATCTCTGTTCCTTTTTCAAAGGCTACTTTTTCAATGGCTGAACGTATGCCTGCATGAGCATTACTTATGCCTTATTGGTTTCTTAAGTTTTCAGGCTTATAAAGCCACTAACTTCAGCTTTTTTTTATTTTATTGCTCTTTAGGGTCAGGTGGAGATAGAGGACCAAGTGGAAGGTTTACATTACGTAGCAGAAAAATACGGGTTTATTGACTTGAGTCGAGTAGCCATACATGGCTGGTCATATGGGGGTTTTCTCTCCCTCATGGGTCTCATCTGTAAACCCAATGTCTTCAAGGTAAGTCCAGACGTGGTGGAGCATTATCTTGGGACTCGTAGCTTTCTCAGCCTCTGTAGCTCTTGGTATCTGGAGTTGTCCATCAGAAACATCAGACAAAAAAGCCAGGTGAAAATGACCCTCAGTCCTTTCTGCCTGTAGCTCTAGCATACAGCCCTGCATTCTGCTTGCAGGTTGTACTTTCTGAGACATAAAGAGGATGGGGTCTCTGGGATAGAGTCACATCCCAGTGGCTGCTGATGGAGGACTTGGCATACTATCAAATAAGATGATTGATACACTATTCCTAAGCCCTTCCCAAGTCTTCAGCATGTTTCTGGTTCTATTTCACTTGTTTTCCTTGAAAAGGGAAGCCTTTAGGTACTGTTAGGATAGAGTCTGCCTGACTTTGGTTACAAGAGAAACAGCATGAGTTGGAATCCAGGTTTTATATAGGTTTTGTTGTGGAAGAATCGGTCTGAGTGATAGAATTGTCCAGAATTTTTTTTTTCCTTTCCCTCATCAAGGAAGCAGAGAATACTTGAACTCTTTAGCACTTGATAATGGAAGTTGTTTCCTGCCACCTATTTGTTTGACAGATTGCTATAGCAGGTGCTCCTGTCACAGTTTGGATGGCATATGACACCGGGTATACTGAGCGGTACATGGATATCCCAGAAAACAACCAGCAAGGTTATGAGGCTGGCTCTGTGGCATTACATGTAGAAAAGCTTCCCAATGAGTGAGTACTGCGGGGCTGTAATCTGCTAAAAACCAGCTTCCAGATGCTGTGTGGTGCCATCAGCTGCACCTCTGCTGAATACCAAAAGAATGGATGAATTCTGGGGTGGTTTTATTTTAACTCATGAGGCTGGTTGCTGCTTTTTGCAGCAGGCTGGGGCATCATATATCCAGCCTCCTTTGCCAGTGGTGAAGGGGCTGAAGATCATGTCTGTGGCCTTAAATTATTTTTGACTGCTGCCTGGTCATTCTGGTCATTGTTCAGTTTTTAGTTTGCTGAATGGCAGCTTTTTGCTCAGACTCACTTCAGAGCTTTTTGTTTGGATTCTCATATTCTCTCTCATCTCATCTTCAGGCCAAATCGTTTGCTGATCCTCCATGGTTTTTTGGATGAAAATGTGCACTTTTTTCACACAAACTTCCTGGTATCACAGTTAATCCGGGCTGGAAAACCGTACCAGCTTCAGGTAGGGGGAACAAGAGTGAAGTGGGAAAGTTAGTTAAATCTAGCAAGATAGTTTTATGCTTCCTGCCTCGAGTGCGGGAGAAGGTAGATGCGGATGCTTCCACGTGTTGCTCTTGTTGCAACACAGCTGATAGTAAATGCCTTGTTTGACTTCAACGAGTGACCGGGAGGTGGCACTGTAACTGCATTGCTAGCTGATGTGGCCTCTGTCTAAAAGCATTTGCAAATAGGGCTCCTGCCCTCAAGTCTGGAACTTTCCTTCTCCCCTGGAACTGTGGCTTCTCACATGGCTGTGGACAGCAGAAGTGGCTGCTTTGCTGAGCAGAGTGGCAGTGCACATCACTGCAGTGAAGTGAGAGGCAGGCTGGGTGCTCTACACATCTCCTGGCATTCCTTTGTCCTGATAGAGACTGGGCACAAAGTGAGGGAGGCTTGTCCATGCTGAATGAGCAACTCCTGATTAATTGTCTCATCTCTGCTTCTGCACAGATCTACCCCAATGAAAGACACAGTATTCGGTGCCCTGAGTCAGGAGAGCACTATGAAATCACGCTGCTGCACTTTCTACAAGAATACCTCTGAGAACACATGCCTCTGCAAACTGGATGCTGACAGCTCTCTTCACCCCTCCTGTGCCCAGCCACTACCACCTCCCTTGACAGCCATCTAACCCAGAGCACAAATGGCTGCGTGCCCATGTCGGGGTGTCTTGCCCTGAATAATAAGGGAGGAGGATGGAAGGTACTTTCCCTTTGGACAGTGCCACCTTCTTTCACTTTCCAAGCTGGAGGTCTGCCTCTGCTCAGCTGCTCATCCTATTTCTCTCTTCCAGCCTGGCTGTTAATGTGTTGGGTTGTTTTTTTTGTTTGTTTGTTTGTTTGGTTTTTTTTTTTTCCTTCTACTCCCACTATCCTGGGGATTGATGGACAGTGGTCTGTCTCCTAAGACTGAGGTTTGCATCCATCTCTCTCTGTCCCCCATCCTTTTCCCTTCCACTGCACATCTGCAGTTCATTCACTCTTACCTGCAAGAACTCGGTGCCTGTGTTGGAAATAGAAGAGCTGAATAAGCAAGCTGCCTTAAGCCAGGAATGGCAGCTGATTGCTGGTGCTGTGTCCTTGCCCTGCTGCAGCAGTGTGGAGCCCTGGGATGTGAAGAGCTCTACAGAAGCATGCAACACTAGTCATTTCTATTTCTCAGTTTTATTTCGCAGAGCAGATGGAGGAAGTGGCTGGGGTTGATAACGATGCCCTCTCATGCCTTTCTCTAATGGCCGCTCACAACCAGAGTTGTGCCAAAAGGTAGCACAGCAGCTGAAGCAGCTGGCTACAACCAGAGATCATCTCTCTGGAGATAAGTTTTTTTTGTTTGTTTGTTTTTTTGGTTTTTTTTGTTTTTTTTTTTGCAACACAAGATGGATAATATTTATGCAAGTCCTTCCTCCCTCCATTCTTTATGCTGCCTCCCGATCCTACCTTCTCCTTCCCTGAAACCTTGAGCTTTCAGATGTGCACTGAAATTGGCTGTGCTTCAGTTCTCTGCAGGTCAGTGACTGTTCCCCTTACCCATCTACTCAGCATATGCTTTCTTTTGGTTTTTATTTTCCTGGTCTACAGGAACTGTAATTCTGGGGAGGGGGGATTGAGTAATTGCACCTCAGGGGAGCGTGTACCCCCCCGCCCCTCAAGCCAAGGGTTCTGCCAGGGATGAAAAGAGAAGAAAAAAGCAACACCCAAATGAACCACATTGACTTGCCCTGGAGTATTTTAAGTGCGTATTATGAAAAGAAAATATTTTTATGGATTCTTATTCTTTTATAATTATGAGTGTAAGATGTAGCAACTCATTAAAATATTGGAAAGAGATGCACTGGTTGGCATTTGTATTTTTTTTGGAGTGTGGGAGAGGGCTTGGGAGGAAGCACCATCTGGCTTACAATGGGTAAAGCTGCTTTTATGGTAAAAGCAAAGTGCTTTGTTTGGTTTCTGTGTCAGACAGCGGACAGAATGTTAAAGCCTTGATGTTCCTCAAAGGAAGCACGATCCAGCAATTGAAGATGCTGCAGGGTGGAGAGCTGGGAATCCTGGACTGTTCTTGGCTCTGCCATTCAGGCAATCCTGGACTGTTCTTGGCTCTGCCATTCAGGCACTGCATGACCTGGAGGGAGGCTTCCCGTGCTTGCAAGTAGCCTCAGCCGTGGAGATAGGAACCTCACCCAGCATCCCAGCTTCCTCTGACTTCTTGGGGTTGCAGCTGCTCTGTGGCACAGGTAACAGCCTGGCGGCTCATCTTCAAGCACTGGCAGCTCCGATCCCACGCTGGGAGGACACGCGTGGGTGCTGGGCATAGAGCTGCTTTTTGCAAGTATCTGAATACTCGCCCGTGCTTGCTTTCTGTGGCACTTAAGGCCTACAAAACCTGGCTTTGCTGCTTTTCTTTCTGTATTAGAGTTGAGCATTAATTAAATTGCTATTAAATGCCCTGAGGATGTAAGCTAGAGACTTTCATTTTAAATGCAAAGCATCTCACAGCTGGAGGATTTTGTTTTCTCAATATGGCTGTGAGCATATTTCTTGCCCAGGAATTCACCTGGCTCTCTTGGTCATGCTTTAGCTTCGATCATGCACCCTGCTTAGTACCTTCTGGTGTTTCTTTGAGGTCTGAGGAGCAGCGGAAGGGGAGGTAATGGAGGAAGTTGCACATCTCTGAAGCTTCCTTAAGAGAAGGGTATGCTTTTCCTCATAGAGAGAAGAGTCACTCCCTTCACAGCTGGGTGGGTGCCGGTACGTGGTAAGAAGCTTTATTTTGCGGGGTTTGCTTATTTTATGTCTTAATCTCAAGTGTTTTCTTCCTGTGCCAAAAGAACAAGTATTCTTAAAATGTCTGCAATGTCTTAAACTTTTATAGATGAACAGTTTATCTGCCAGCTGCTTTGATCCTCCAAGCTTGCTTCTGAAGCTGCATAAAGTTTTCTTCTGTTGGGTATTGAGATCCTGAGAGGCATTAACTTGGAAAATCACTACAAACCCAAGTTTTTCTATATGTAACAAGATTGAAATACAGATGGTGTAGGAGGCTTCCACCTAGCTGTCCTGAGAGACAGGGAATTGGAGTATGAAGCAGCAAAGTAGCTCTTTTGGATAGAGGATTTGCAGCTGCAATAGAACAGAGTTTAACTTCCTGTGAGGGCAAGTGGTAACGGCTGCAGGAAGTGGAGGGCATTGTGATGGATGCTGGAGAGGCCGGATAGAAGGCGCTCTTCCTCAGTACTAAGCCTGAGTTTGTTGGGAGGCACTTCTCCCATGAAACTCCAATGTGTGGAGTTTTATTTTTAGGTGTAGGATGTGGAGAACAGATGTTTGGTTTCAAAAATAAGTCATTTTGAACTGCTTCTTGAGCTAATTCTGTAGCTCAGCTAGATGCTGTTACTCTGAAAGATGGTCGAGTGGAAAGCTTCTTAGCATCTCTGTTCCTAAAGTGTTGAGGAATAAAGGTGTGGTGATGGCTCTTTCTCTCAAAGCTGCAGTAGTGGAAGCTCAGGGCACAGTCCTGGGTGCTGTTCTCTCACTGTTGCTGCTCTGCAGAGCAGTGCCTGTGGGATGGCTGAGTTTGCTACAAAATACGTTTCATCAGATTCCATCAAAGGAGGCGTGGGCTGTGCAGCAGCAGTGTGAGGAAGACAAATGGCTGCAGTGGTGGGGGACTGGGGGAGTCAGACTGCAAAATGCAAAGTGTAAACTGATCATGGCGTGTCCTCACTGAGGACTTTTGGAGAAGCATTCACACATCTGCTTCCAGCACATTGCCTCTTAGCTGGGGCAGATGCAGTGCTTTGCTCCAAAGCCCATGGAATCCTCACTGCAGTGCTGCCCTCCTCCTTGTGTAGAAACAAACTTATTTTCTCTGGTTTTAGCTCAAGCTCCTTGCTCAGAGGCTGTTGCAGCTTCCCCTTGGCTTTCAAGTGAGAACAGCATTGTCCCAGCCCAGCAGCTGTGGCTCTTGCTGTGTTGGGCTCTGTGTTTTGCCTCGAGTCCCAAAGCTGCTCTGAACTGGGATGCAGAGGCTGAGCCATAGGCATTCCCCCTGGCCCCCAGCCTCATTCATGCCAGTCCTTTTTCTTCCCTTCTGACCTTCCCTCATGCATCTGTGCTTCAGCCAGGGTTGTGCAGAGCCAACAAAAGGCACAACCTGGGGAAAGGTCTGTGCATTTTTCCCCCCCCCTTTTTTTTTTTTTTTTTTTTTTTTCAGAAAGCATTGCAGATATCTTTATCCCTGTTCCTGGTGCTGCTCTCAGGGCTGGCTGCAGCTCTCAGGCCGCTAGGCAAACGTTGCTCTGGAGATGCCAACATGCAGTCTCAGTGTTAGTGGTGCAGTCAACAGGAAGGAATGCATGAGGTGGCTGCTGCTGTAGGAAGGGGGTGGGGAGCATGAGGCACTGTGACAGCAGAGAAATGCAGCAGCCCTGAGTAAGGGATTTTGAAAATAAAAATTGTGGAGAGACTGTAGGGAGCATAGAAAGACAGGAAGGGTGGACAAACTAGGGTGTTCCAGAGCCACCCAAGCTGACAGATAGGAGTGGGGATGGTGTGTCTGCAGCCAGCGGCTTCCACTATCTGCAGCCTGCAAGTCCCTCCATGGTGGGGGACGTGGTGCTTGAGCTGCTACCAGGCACAATTGGGGACAAACACTATAATGTGGTCAGGGGACAGGTTTGCAGGTGGGTAAAGGGGCTTTTGCTGCATGGTGGCAGATGGAACGTGTCCAGTGTGGCCCTGGAGCAGCACTGGGTGCGGCTGTACCTGCTTTTCTCACTGCCTTTTTGTCTGCATTTGCTTTGTTCTGCCACTCAGGGAACAGGATGGAGCTCCAGTTTCTTGTGAAGCCATTCATTCCTCTCCTAAAAAGGACAGTTAAATACCACGAAAAGGACAGACAGCTAAGACCCTCTAAAGCTCCTGTCAAAACAGCTGCATGTCCATACAAAAGTTGATCCAGCTGAAGGAACAAATGTATATCTTGCCTTTCTCTGCTTTCCCCTCATCTTTAATCCAGACTTGGAAGGATTTATCTTGCCCAATCCAGGGGCTGTAGAGTAACCATGGGGCTCTACCCAGGCCTACCTCATCCCTCCTTTTGCTTTTCCCTTCAGTTCAGAGCCATGACTGTGCCCTTGAGGCTGCTGCTGGCCCTGTTGGGCTACATCACGGCACTGGACCCTGCACTGGAGGAGGCCTGGGAAGGGTGGAAGAGCCTATATGCCAAGGAGTACCCTGGGGTATGTCTGCACCAGCTGCAGAAGGACCTGGCCGTGCTCAGCTCCCCTTGAGCCTGACAGCCTGGGGTCAGCTTCAGAAGGGTCCATACCTGGGAAGGCCCCTCTGCTCCTGGGGGCTGTTCCTGACCCCAGGCTGCTCTGCCCCTTGACAGGAGGCTGAGGTCATCCGCAGGGAGGTCTGGGAGAAGAACCTACGGCGCATAGAGCAGCACAACTGGGAAGAGTCACAGGGGCAGCATACGTTCCGCCTGGGCATGAACCATTACGGGGACCTGGTACTTGCACCTACTCCAAGGACTTGATCTGAGGGCTAGGTGCCCCCAGCCTACTCTGCTTGGAGTGATGGTGCTCCCTGGGGTGCAACCTGCCCATGGGGAGCAGCAGTGCAGGTGGCCCTGCACACACACATATGCACCTACAGATGGACGAGGAGTTCAACCAACTCCTGAATGGCTTCACCCCAGTGCAGCATGAGGAGCCAGCACTGACTTTCCAGGCATCGGCAGCTCAGAAGACCCCAGCAGAAGTGGACTGGAGGGTGAGAGGCTACGTGACACCCGTAAAGAACCAGGTAGGCACGTGGGGGGCTCTGTCCAGGGCCACAGGATGGGTGCCAGCAGCAGAAGCTAGAGACTGCATCCTCCAAAGGGCTGGAATTCTGTGAAACCCAGCAGTCCTATAGTTTTGGCTGTTGCAGTTTCTTGTAGTTTTGCAGATGAGGAGCTGGAAAGCAACACTATGGGGTCACCCTCCATCACGTTTTGGAGTGATGTTGTGATCCCCCCCTCACTTCCCTCTCACCCAGGGGCACTGTGGATCATGCTGGGCATTCAGTGCCACAGGGGCCCTGGAGGGACTTGTCTTTAATTGGACGGGGAAGCCGGCAGTGCTCAGTGAGCAGAACCTCATCGACTGCTCCTGGAAGCTGGGCAACAACGGTTGCCATGGTGGCTACATGACCCGTGCCTTCCAGTATGTGCGTGACAATGGTGGCATGAACTCCGAACACGTCTACCCCTATGAGGCCACAGTAAGGGGCAGCAGGAAGGGGGCAAGCAGGGATAGAGCTGTGCTTATGGGTCCCAGCCCTGGCACTGCTTTCTCCCTGCTCTCAGGACACCTCTAGCTGCCGATACAACCCTGGGGACAGGGCGGCCAACTGCTCCACAGTCTGGCTGGTGGCCCAGGGCAGTGAGACAGCGCTGGAGCAGGCAGTGGCAACTGTGGGCCCTGTGTCTGTGGCAGTGGATGCCAGCAGCTTCTTCTTTCACTTCTACAAATCAGGTATCAACTCCTGCACCTGGAGAGGTGTGGTTAGGTAGACTAAGGCAGGTGTGCCTTGCTATGGGGCTGGGCAGCCAAGCCCTAGCAGAGCCCACAGGGCACCCAGCCCAGGGGAATAAGATCAGCCACCTTCCTTTTTCCAGGAGATGAATTGACCGGGGTCAGAGCCTGGACAACTCAGTTCTGTTCTTTCCAGGCATCTTCAGCAGTATGTTTTGCAGCCAGAAGGTGAACCATGGGATGTTGGCTGTGGGCTATGGTACCAGCCAGGAGGGCAAGAAGAATGTGAGCTACTGGATCTTAAAGAATAGGTAGAGGTAGCTTAGATCTGCCATCACTTTCAGCCTGTCCACTGCTCCTCTACGAGGTCAAAGATGCAGCAGGAGTATCCCCATCCCATGACATGTGACACGTTTCCCTGTGCCATGGGAGTGCAGATGCGCTCATTCTCCATCTCCTCCTGCAGCTGGTCAGAGGTGTGGGGTGAGCAGGGCTACATCCGCCTGCTGAAGGGAGCCAACAACCACTGTGGGGTGGCCAACCAAGCCAGCTTTCCTCTGCCGTGAGATCCTGGACTGGAAGGAAGATGGCACTCACTGGGGTTGCTCCCCTGCCTTGCTGTGAGGATAGGGATGCTTCCTTCAGGAAGGGGCTTTTGTCTGTGTGAGAAACAATTAAAAATGGCATAGCTAATCACTCTGTGCCTGCAAAGGGGGGCTAAGGCATGGCTAATGTAGCAGGTTCTTTTTTTTTTTTCTTTTCTTGGTTGGTGAAAGGAGCTTTCTCTGCCCCTTTCATAGAACCACAGAATGTTTTGTGTTGAAAGGGACCTCTAAAGACCATCTTGTCCCGCTCTGCAAAGAACAGGGATGCCTACAGCCCATTCAGGTGCTTTTCCTTCCATCTGAATCTCAAATGCCAGAGCTCTGAGATTTTTGGCCACAACTGCAGCTCTCTAACTCAAACATTATCCCTCCTAGCCCAGCTCTTTATAAAGTAACTCCTTATCAAAGCAAACCTGCAGCACACATGAAAAAAAAACCCTTAACTTCCTTCACCTTCTGCTGCTTATTTCTGTGTCTATCAAATACTGTGGGGATTCGCTCTCTCTGAGAGCAAACACAAGGCCATAAAAAGGGGAACACGCAGCCCTGAAATGGCCAGCCCGCGGGATGGCTCCAGGGGCGCTGTCCACGTAGACGCCGTCACTTTGTCCCATATCCTAATGGCTCTTTGTCCCAGTCGTGAAGAGCCCCTGCCCTCACTCCGCTACGTCCCGGCCCAGGCTCCCTGCCCACACACAAGATGGCCGCCACGGCGCCCCCTAACCGCTCGCCGCCCGCACTGACCCCTTCCGCCCGCCGTAGCGCGGGCTTCCTTTTCAAGATGGCGGCGCCCTGCGGTCGGAGCAGTCGGTGGCTGTGGGCCACGGTGGTGCCGGCCGCCGTGCTATGCTTAGCGGTCCGGGCCGCGGAGGAGGCAAGCACAGCTGATTTCGACGTGAGGCCCGGCGGAGAGGCTCACTCCTTCTCCCGGAGCCTGGTAAGGGGAGAGGAGGGACGGGGAGAGGAGAGTGTACGCGTCTCTCGCTGATTGGTGGGAACGCATGTCGTTCCTTGCTGCTGGCACGGGGATTGGCTGACAGCAGGGAAGGGCGGGTCGAGTGGTAGATGACAGGGGTGGGAGGTGGGGGATCTGGGCCGGTTGCTGTGGGAGCGATGCCTGGGAAAGGGGCTTTCAGGTGGGGGTGGACTACAAAGGAATGAGATCTCTAGGAAGGAAGGAACTGGGATCGGGTCTCCAAAGAGAAAGGGGTCTGGGGCGCCAAAGAATGGCCACTAGCTGAAGGAAACGTGTCGCCACTAGGATGGGATGATCCCTGTGACCAAGAACTCCCTAGGCCGGGTCGAGAGGGGAGTTCAGTGGAAGGAGATGCTTCAAGGGAAAGTGAGGGGCTCCAAGGGAAGGAGGAGTCTCTAGGGAAAGGTGTGCTGAGGGGATCTGGTGAGATGGGAACTACAGTTTTCTGCCCACTCCCTAGCCCAGATCCTCAGGGTTCTGTTGAGACCCCCAGAGCACCTCCTGGATGAGGGCTTTGCAGCCCCCACCAATATTGGGGCTCTTCCTAGGGTCAGACCAGTGGGGGATCCTCTGTGCCCACACCCCTTATGGCCTTCTCAGGTGTTCCCATGTTTCATGTTGGTGAAGTACTGATGTTGAACAGGTAGATTCACACAGTTTGTCACTCCATGGCCAGGCTGCTGATCTTCTCTTTCTCTAGGGAGATTACACCTGCACTTTCACGTACTCTGCTCAGGGAGGAACGAATGAGGTGAGTTGGCAATTTGGATTCTTCCTTTGCGCTCAGTCTGGCTGCACAGAACAGGATTCTGTTGTTATCAGTGCTGACAGCAGTAGTAACTGAGAAGGACTGATGTGCCTCAGAGATAAAAGGCTGCTGTTCTGCCAGAAGCCTCAGTTGGTCAGTCATCATTTTGTCCCCTAGGTTTAGTTGTGGCCAGGACAAGAAACTTCTTTTTCTACAAGAAGGAAGTGGTTTCCTTTGTGATCAGCTGATTCCAGGGCCCAGGAGCTGAGGGAGGGTGGTGGCACCGTTTCCGACACCATATGTTAGCAAAAATAGCGTTGTTGGGTTTGCTTCTTTAATGGAAGCGTCCTCTGTGTGTTGCAACAATGCTGTGGCACACAAGGCCATGACATTTGTAAGTTTTAATGAATCTTGGGGCCAAATGCTTTCAATGGAGAACAGAGTTATCATTTCGTGCCCCTGTAGGTAGGAAGGGCCTTGGAGGAGTAACTCCTTAGTTTTTAGGAAACTCTGCATAGAACCAGGTCCTTTTATTTTATTGTAAAATGGTATGAGACTTGTACTCTTTTCTATAACTGCACTGATGAAATTGTGGGGAAGAGAGAAAGAGTGACCAGGGCTCCTGCTTTGTGCAAACAAAATAGAAGGGGCCATCAACAGCTGTTCTGTAATTATGTTTTGCAATTTCACAGTGGTGCTCCTGCACCTAGGAGGCGGGGATGAGTTGGAAAATGGGAGATGTTTCTCAAGATTAACTGTTGGGGCTTTTCCCCTCTGCAGCAATGGCAGATGAACATTGGAGTCAGTGAAGACAACCTGCTCTTCTCCTGCTCTGTCTGGAGGTGTGTGGTTTAACCTGAAAAGCAACAAGCCAGGTGGTGGCTTGGCCAGGGTTCTTCCCTGTGGCAGCAGGGATGGTGCTTCCTGGCTTTCCTCTCCTGGGAGTTGCTGTGACTCTGGGAGGTCTCACAAGCCAGGTGATGTTTCTTCCCCGATTTCTTCACTATACTAGTTGAAGCTGCAAAAGAGCTAGAGATGGCTGTGGAGGGAGGGAGCTGTGTATCCTGCCACTCCTCTACACTTCCACCCTCTCTACCAACAGCAGGGATTAGAAGAAGCTGCCTGATTTGCCCCTTCACTGGAAAGTCAGAGCAGGATGGTCTCTAATGCTTGTGGCCTAGAGAGAGCCAAGAATCAGAGTGCTACTGTGCCTGACCCTTCCCTATGATCTCACCTCCCATTATAACCTTTCCCTGCTTTAGATGCCAAAGGCTGTGTTCTTATTTTAGGCCCCAAGGGAAGTCTTACCTCTTCTTCACCCAGTTTAAATCAGAAGTGAAAGGAGCCAAGATAGAATACGCCATGGCTTATGTAAGTCCAAGCTGATGACTCTGATATAGGCATGTGGGAAGCTGCTGTAAAACATGGGTTGAACATTGAAAACTTTCATGAGACATCTGTCCAGTAAAATATACTCCAACATGCCCTTAATTAGAGAGTGGTGGCAGTCAGGACCGAGTGTCTGCAGAAAGACCCTCCAGCACTATTTAATTTCTGCTCCTTGTATGCTGTGGGTTATCTGCTGGTTTTGCCAATGTCATTGGCTCCAAAAGACACCATCCTGCCAGGATGCACAGGACAAGGAGCACCTTGATTTGTCTCAGCAAATTCATTCTTCCATCTCTTCGACTTTCAGTCATCTGAAGGTTGCTAGTTTGTGGTTTAAAAGGAAATGGAAACCTAGCCAGGAATTTTCCTTCAGGTTTCCTTTGCAGGTGTAGTTCTTTCACTCCACATTATTAAAATACAAGTTTGTTCGTTTTCAAAATGTGCTGTTGTTTATTTGCTTTAGATGCACTAGCTTCTTAGATGACCTCAATTGCATAAGCTTTTTTTCCTTCCTGTTTCAGTCTCAAGCTGCAGTGGGTGCACAGAGTGACATCCCCTTAAAACAGGAAGAATTCGAAATCACTGAAACGACAGGTCTGTGACTGCGAAAACTACACGAAAAAGGGCCTGGTGTGGGAGACAAGCCTGGTTGTCTACCAGGAGATGAGCAGTTAAGCTTAAAGCCAATAGATGACAGCATGGAGGCAGACACTGCACATTATGGAGTCAGCAGTGTAGTGTTCATGATCCATAGTTGGCAGCAAGATTTTGCAGGTCCCCTTCCTGTTTAAGTGTTAATTGGCATAGGGAAGAATGGGTTTATCACAGTGTGCTTGTACTGTGCATGTAAAGAACGTCAGTGTCCAACTTGCTGGCTTTTTATCATCCTGGAAGGGAACCAGCAGAGCTGTTTTATTTATACCTTACCATTTGTTTATCCTGTACTTGTTTTTTCTCTTTGTAGTGTCTCACAGGGAAGGCAAGTTCCGTTTTGAACTGTCGAAACTCGTGATTGTAGCAAAAACTCCCCATGATGAGCTGTGACTCTGAAGATGCTGTTGGGCGGTGTTTCGGCCAGGAGACCATGGCAGACAATGGAGTTTACTTATTATTGGCAGTTATTTCAGTTGGCCAAACCTTTCATGTTTTCCATATTGAGGTGCGCTAGGGTCCAAGACAAGTGGGGTGTTGAGGTGTTGAGAAAAATGCGTTCTGTCTTGTGTCAGAGTAACAGTGTGCTTTGCAGCTGGAAACATCCTCTGAAAATCCTGATCTAGAGCCAGCCATTCTGCTGCCTGCTTTCTACTTCAGTGATCTGCTGAATATGGTAAAGCAGCCCTCTAAAACAGCACTTTATCTTCCTTGCTAGGAGGAGCAATGCAGCAGCTGGATTTAAGCAAGAACTCCTAAATGAAAGTTGTTAACCCTGGAGTCTCTGGAAGGTAGTAACAGGGTTTCTTTCTCTGGAAGCTTTACAGAAGAAACAAATTAAATTGGGTAGAAGGGGGAAGGAAGGGGTAGGGTTGGTCAAAGCCAATTGACTTCTTATGTGCTACTGTGGAAAACCATCACTGGCTTAATTGGAGAGGATGTTCTGTTCCTGTCCTAGTGCAGATTGCAGATTGGGATAACTTGGCATGGGGAAGGCAGTTTCTTATTCTGGCACAACCCAGGAATCAATCCAAGCAACACTTTCACGTCTCAGTAACAGTGCAGGACTATTTTCTATGTACAGAAGCATTTTTTTTCTTATCTAAAATATTAACAGCGAGGGAATGTGGAATTCCTATCCTGCGTAAATATACAAATAAAGCATCATCTTCTCACCTGGGTTTGCTTTGGTCTATGATTCCTGTTCTCCAACTGGATGCCTAGCAATCCAGTTCAGCGCTTACTTAGCCAGCAGTTGCTGAGATGTCGTGCAGGAGGTGGCTGCAGGTTTATGGGGGTTCTGCACATCCAAGAGGTATCCCAG